TTTTTGAACCCAAGATGCAAACATCCCCCGCTACCACTCCATTTTCCCAAAATATTAACAAGGTTTCTTATGTATGTTGTAAATTGGAACGTAAGTTAGCCATGCAAATGCAAGAAATGAATGGAATAGAATTCGAGCATCATTACGAAAAGGAAAAGACAAAGAGTCTTGGTCATTGTATTCCCATGTGCAGTGAAGCCATTTATGAAGACTCTATCGTGTAAGTCTGTCCCATCTCCATTTATCTCAATCAAGTTCCCGGCGAATTGGTGTGGTTCTGTTATGCGGTCAACGATAAGGATCCTTACGATGTGCGTTCTTATGATTTTTTTGAAACACCTTTTCGCGAGTATGGTGACCAATTTTCTCAATACTAATCCCGCACTTAAACTTGTCAAGAAGCGTTTTTACAGGAATGTTGACCAGTTGAAACCATGTCAACAGACATTAGAAAACAGCACGTGGATCATGTCATTTAGCGAATTCGACTTAAATTTGCATTTGTGAACACTTGTTTGTATTAGCAACATTTCTGCTGAAGATAAAGAGTTTCTTAACGAAGTTAAAACGGCCTTTTTAGAACTGAGAGATGAAGAATGTCGAGGTATGGACGAAGAAGTGTCTCTTAATCATATAAAGATACTCGTGCAATATGCTCAACATGCACCGCAAGAGCATTGGGAAGAATGGATCCAGCAGACAGAGAAACGCAAACATTTTTTCGATCTCATCGGTGACAATATTCCACAGATTTTGCATTCGCCCTTCAACATCATTCCTGATTTGGCACAATTTTTCATCGAAGAGTTTACCTCTCCCAAAATCAAGACCGATGCCGAGGTGATGGAAGGGGTGCAAAAACAATTGGAAAAAGAGCTGGAAGAAGGTACAGGCAGTGTTTATCCTACTCCTTCTCCCAGATGTCCTCCCAAAGTGTCTGCATTCGTGTCTGCTTTTGATTGACACCCTGTCGATTTTTCCAATCCTGATAATCAAGGGCTGATGGCATCGGTTTTGCGTGCTTTTCGCGAAGCCAAACATGTGCATTCCATCAATCAAGCCAAAATACCAGCGTCGCCATTTGTTTCTGGCAGTGTAGTACTACCTTTATTGCAGCAAAAGTTAGATGCAGAAGGCGCAATTCAAATCAAGAATTGGCAAACTAATTTATCGGCACCTAGACCCATGTCTTTCTTGGATACTCTACCCTGGAAGAAAAAGGAAGATGGAAATTGGTCTGTTTTCTTGTCGGATGATAAGTTGCCATGGAAATTAGCTCAAGATAAAGCCACTGCAAAGAATGCAGTTAAAGATGTGAAAGTGGTCTGTCCATGCGAAGATACTTACTAGTCTCAGCAACGGCAAGAAGCTTCAAGGGAAAAAACCGAAGCAGAGAAAAAGGAACCGGAAGATATACCTACCCAGTTGTTTAGATCTGGTGTTTCTGCCGAAGATATTCTTAAGCGTTTCGTGGTGGATCATTGGAAGTATAAAGTGGTCATGGCTCGTAAAAGGGAAGCGAAAGAGCGTTTCTATAATCCTACTTACATCCCTTCTCCCGCTAAAGCTGCAAGATTGGTGGAATACGACGATCTGATGTTGATCACACATACCAAGGTGGTTCAAAACAAGAAGGACAAACAAGAAATGTGACATTGTTCAAGTGTTGTTTATTGTAGTTTTTTTCTCGACACATCGTTTTTACTAAATCTAGAAACTTGAACTGGTTTTTTATAGGTTTTGACAAAAGATGCGTCCATTTTTTTAACTTTCTTCTATTTCCTGTAGTATGGGTCGAATTAGAAAACTAGTCTTGTCATGTTCGTGTCTCTCGTTGTTATCAAGCATGTTGGGTATCTCGGGTTCTCTTTCTTCGTTGTTCAAGATACCATTGACGGGCACCAAAATGCACCAAAATGTTTCCCCCAATCTCTTGTAGGTTTCTTTTTTGATGCATTTCAAAATGGTGAGATAAGTGATGGAAAAATACATTAAGAGGGTTACAATGGCTAGATGTGAACAACATAAATGCTTGGTAAAAAATTCTCCAGGATCAAAAAAAGAATCATTTGTTCTATCAAAATAAAAAACTTTACTTTTGGAACATTCGTATTGTTCCAGTGGATGTCCTCTTTCTTTATTACCCCAAAAAGTGGGAATGCAGAGCAACATGTGCATCTTCTTGGGTGCATTACCCTTTAAAGATAAAAACGGGTCCCAAGTCGATTGAAAGACGTTCAGATTGCGATAGAGACGATAACATTTCATGAAATGCCAAAATTTAGAAAGATGAATGGCTTCGTCTAGAGTACTCCACCCGAAAAGTAATTGTAAAATGAAGGTTTGGACATCAAAACGTAATTTATGCACAAAAGTCGATAATTCGTACCAAAAATAATGTACTTGTTTCGCGTACATGACAATGGCTTCTTCATACATGGCTGCTTGTTTAAATCTATCTACTCTGACTAAATGCAAGATTGGTAAGTCCGGGTACGATTTGCAGCAAGGCGGTGCCATCTGATCGACTATCTTGTGTTCTGCATCGATGCAGCCATGTCACTCTTGAGAAACGAGACTTATGAAAAGAACATTGGTGGGCTTGAGGATGTGGTCATCGCAGAGGAACAAGGGTGTCACTGATCTGACAGTGAGGACAGATTTGTCCAAATAGTAAATGTCAGAGGAAATCATTGGGTAACCATGTCAAACATGCTACATAAAGATCCTCTTACCTGCATCTACGATAGTTTTCAAGCACTGAACATTAAGAAGAAAGATAAGAAGATAAGCTACCCCATCAAAGTTGAGCAGGCTGCTTGCGGAATTTCCAGGCAAATCAAATCGTTCACGATGGTGGTGGAGAACGTCCAACAGCAGAACAGAGGTGAAAACTGTGAATTATTTCCAATTGCGTATGCCGCTTTACTATAATGACCCAGTCAAGGCAAACATCAGCCAAGGCATCATGTGCAGAAACTCTTCGAAAGTTTTGAGAACATGCAGATCAAACGATTCGTATGAAATGTGACCACAATGGATCACAGCAAGATACCAAAAGTTCTGTACACCTGGACCTGCAAGGTGTATTGTATTTGTCGCATGCCGGACGATGGCAAGAAAATGGTTAAATGCACAAAGTGCAAATTGTGGTACCACTGTGAATGCTTACTAGGTTATCTTTCCTCTGAACACGGGAGATGCCCGAACTGTGAAGCCCTGAAGAAAAACACCCCTGCTGGCAAAGCAACTACATACGACAATGGTCACGTTGCAAGTGACGAGTCCATCTGTAATACAGTCAAACAGGGTAACCCTTCAAACAGAAGGAACCCAGATAGTACAGCAAGTCAACAGATCGGAAACTCGTTGAAGTCAAAGAAACGAAAATCAGAAAAAAGTGACCTGAATTTCAATGAGGGGAGCTTTAACAATAAAGGGAGACACGAAAACCCAATAGATGTTTCAACAGTTGAAGAACGACCATCACCTGCAGAAGACGTAGCATGGATTGCCGAACTGCACCTCACTGTAAAAGAGCAGAACATCCTGTTGGTTCTTATTACGAAAGATTGTTGTCAGAGTGACGTCGGTGGACGCGAGGACGTCGTGATTGGTAGGGATCGTGGTTTTTCCCGCTCAGACTGTGGACAGGGCTTTATCCAGATCATCAACGACAGGAAAAATCCCGGGGGGGGGGGGGTACTCCCTTACAAGAGCCTAATGGGGATGTGCCGCTGGATGGGGTCGCATCTTCACGACTGGAGTGACTATAATGGGGTCGCATTTTCAATAGAGTTACTAGAATGGGGTCGCAAATTCTCGAATTTTGGGGGTAAGTAGGGAATCAAAATTGGACGATTCTCAGTTAAAAAGATCAGAAAGTTGTTTATTAAATTGAACAATAAGCTTGCATTGACCGCATTGCATTCCGTTCTTGAAACCACAACTTAAATATTAACCAGTTACTCAATAGCACAAAACCACGGGTCCAGAACAAAGTCCACCGAAACATCAGTGCTACTGCATTTACTTTTCTACTGGATTGTTATCGTCCATCGAAGATAATACAACGTGGATCTTCTTTTGTATTAGCGAGCGTTTGATCTCTTTTGCTTGGGACTTGTCTGCTTTGAATGTGACATTTACAGGAACATTTATACCACATCCAATACGCCAGCGACCTTTGACATCATCATACGGCTCTCCGGTAACAACGCTATCAGGTAAGACATATCGAAGTATAATTAATCCCTAGTTTTATTGGTTATTACACTAAAGAGGATCAAACTACCGCTTAAGATCATTTAAAACTTACCACGAAATTTCAGATGTTAATGGCCAGAGCACTGAAACAACCTCTCTTTGAAGATGTCCAAGTTGACCTCGCTTGGAGTCAACAACCTTGAATGCACGCCCGTAATCCCCAATCTTCTTAACAGCAGTAAATATATCACCTGTTTCTACTTTAAAGATACACTCTTGATACCCTTTGACGACACACCTAATCAAAACCTTGAAATCAATCTCGCTGGAATGAGACTGAGAATAATCTGCCATGGCCATTGTTATCGCCAGCTTACGGTGAGACAAAAATCTCACCGGGCGAGAATAACACGTGTTATCTTATTACCGATCTCTCAGAGGGTGTGTTGTTCTGTTTCGGTTTTGACAATTAAGGGCAGTTTAATTGCGTAAAATTCACGTAAAATATGCAGTTCTTTATGCATGTGATCGGTCTATGTGCTTTCTATCTTCTGTTAGTGCCTATGATCCAGCTGAAAATTTGCGACGATAGAATGATACTCTGTTCACATTTATTAATTTATAAGTCATTGTCTGGAAAAAATCGTAACTGAGGAGCAATACTGTTAAGCATTGCTTTTACCTCATGCATTTTTAAGTAGCAATTTCGTGAATTTAATGATTTCATTCATTTTGATTATTCGTGTTTATAATATTCCAAAAACGTGTTTATTGTCTTAGTATATCCTGGAAATATGGGGATCGACAAGCGGGGAGTTCCGAGAGGAAAATGCAGTGAGTGTGAGTGTGAGGAGTTTGAAAGTGTCAACAGCATTGTTTGTGAGTACTGTGGCCACCCACCAGTCAAACATGAGAAGCATAGTGATATTCTCTCACCACCGGCTAAGAAAAGAGTTGTCTCGGTTTCCAGTGACATTACACAGCCACAGCCACTCTGCAACTCAACACAGGTAACCTTCGATCCCGCAATACCAGATCCTGATGTATCACCGGCGGTCATCCCCGGTTCTGGTTTTTTAGAGCGAGGCTGCGACTCAGCACAGGTAGTTTCCGATTCTCTGGTACCAGCTGGCTTGTCAGAGGAGGTCCTCGATTCATCTCATTCACCTTCGAAACCAGCAGTACCCACTGCTGATTTCTCAGCTGCAGTCTCTAATCCGTTAACCATAGTAAGTATCAATCCACAGACCTCGTCAGAGTATCCCTTGGCAGCGAAAAACGTGATATCGTTTCTGAAAAACGTTGCAAAAGAGGAAGGAAACTTGTCAACCCCGGTCTCAAGATACCAGTTGTCAATCACAGAAGAAGGAAAACTGAAGGTTTCTTGTAAAGTATGTAAAAAAGATGTCTTGGTCGGCGACACAAAGCACTCCCGTGTACAGAATTTGAAGGCTCATTTGGACAGCCGTGAGCACCAACTGCAGCTTGCAATCCTGGAGAATGAAGAGGATTACCCAACTTACATTACAGCAAGTTTCCGCGAGATCGATCAAGCATTTCCACGCATGTTCCTCTTGACACACAAAGGAGCATTTTGCCGTGTGTGCAGCAATATCAATATATCGTTGAGTGGCCAAAGAAATCCTTTTGGAAATGCCAAGCAACATGTTGAAAGTAAAGTACACAAAACAAAGATGCATGGAAGTTCGATAGTTAGCAGCAGAGATATTTCTTCGTATTTCCAAGCACCTCCGAGGAAGGAGCCAAAGAAGTGACAAGAAACCATCGTTCAAGCTTCGTCTAAGCCGTCATTATGCCATGGGTTCTATTACGAAGACTACACTTTAACGAGAACAGGAGAAAACATCAAGACAAAGCCAAAGTTGTTGCTTAATGATACTAAACCTGGAATAGATGAGGGACAACAGTCGTGGTATCCAGAGCTGTTCTACGCTTTTGTAAGGAATGACGATTCCAGTGGTTTGTCATCAGAAATTAGGGGAACTTTTCGCAGTTCACAGTGCAAACGTGTTTCCTGTAAGTTTATTAATGCTGATGGAATATGTTCTAGCTGTGCAAACATTCCAAACTTGCCATCATTTCGAAAGCGCCTTCTTTTAAGGATTAATAAAACGGCAGATACTGGTGAACGAAACCTAAGCTGCGTTAGAAATGAATATCTCACAAGTGAAGAAATCGTTGAGAAAGTAACACAACAAAGAGCAAAACTGGACAGCTTAGAGTCAAAACTGTTTTTCGAAACCTCCAGGAATTTGCGACTCAAGATGCGCCAAAGAAATCTGAAAGAAAAACTAGAAGAGTATGCGAAACGTGGGTCCATGAAAGCTATTTGCCACAATCTTGAAAAAGCCTCCGAACAGGGGCTATTCAATGACAAAACAGTTCTCAGGGATTTCTTGACTACCATCTCTAAGAATCTGCATGTGAAAAAGCAGGGGAAACGTTATAAGGCCTCCACAAAGCTTTTCTTTGAAGTTGTTCTTATCTGGGGTGGTCCCAGATTGGCTACATTTGTTGCACCAAATCTGTTTGGACCTGAAATACACTCTCTCTATAGGTGGCGCAATCGTGACCGCATACATTGGAAGGTGGAATAAATTGTGCCGACATGTCAAATATTGCAGTTATCTATAGAGAGTCGATTGCCAAGTAGTTTAAGAACAAAGCAAGTTTAGTTCCAGTTTTGGCTGCTGAAGACGAAACTGCAGTTATCAGCAAAGTTACATACAGTCAGGAAAAGGACGAGTTGTTAGGGTTCTGTGGTATCAAAGGCGCAAACCATCAGTGCCTTGACCAATTCACAGTTAGAAAGTTAGAACTCTATATCAAAGAATTGTCTCAGCCGCACTTGTTGTACATTTCTTGGGTATTTGGAACAATTTTGTTGTGAGGGAACCCAGACTGTCACTTAAGAAGAATTTCATTAGTAGAGAGACATACCAAGACACCATCATTTCATGCCATTTTGCTGTTATGTTGATAAGCTACATGGGTGACCACTTTGCCGATGTCGACTGTCGCCTTGATCTCACAGGATCTGATAACGTAGAATCGTTCTGGAGTGACAACGGGCAGTGGGTAGGAAACCACCACAATTACCACTATGGTGAATTGCAATCAAACATTTCCCACATGATCCGTTTGGAACAGATCAAGACCGACCCTGACGCACCTGACTTCGCAAAGCCACACCCTAAACAAGAATGTATTTGGAATTCACAGTATCCTCCTGAAGAGTTTGCAGCCTCTTTGACAGATTACCCTGCACACGAAGCGCAAGTAGATGCTTGGAAAGAGGGCATACATTTGGCCCGAAAACTGGCTGTGGAAGTGGGAATGGGTCCAGAGAACAACAGAGTGGGGAATGAAGGAGATGATGACGGGGATGATGGAGGTGGTGGATATTGTCCAGATAGTGTTGACGACAATGGCGATTCTTGGTTCTATAAACCATTCAAGTATACCGGGAACTGGATGCTCAGTGTAGACGAGGAAGAGGTCAATGATGAAGATGAGCTTTTTACAACTGATGAAACCGATATTGATACTCCTGAAACAAGGCTTTCAGAAGATGCAAGGTTATTATGTGAAGATCAAGCTTTAGGGCAAATGACTATACCTACATTTAACGAGAATTTCCCAAATGCTGACGTAAGCGCAGAGGGAGTACCCAAATCACCAATCAGTAGCTGTGTGACTGTTCCTGGACAAAATCAAACGATTTACAAGTCGACACTGGTCGCACAACTTAATCAAGATCCCAATCTTTCTCATGATAGGTTAGCAAGAGTCCGTCAGAGGCAAGAGTACCAGACTGTTGAGGAAAGAGCACCAACCAACACGTCAATGGTATCTTTGTTTGACGATTATGCAGTGCTGGACAGATCGAAATCTGGATATCTTGTTGGAAATCTCGTTCGTTTAAGTCACAAAGGAACTCGTGGAAGCCAGGATTATAAGAGACCAGTTAGTTACAGCGATGATCGGGGAAAAGATATAACTGCTTATCTTCAGATATATCCCAAGTTAGACGTCCCAGGACTCAAATTTTCTCTGCAGTCCACACTTCAAATTGTCCCTTTCAGTGACGTCATGTGCCATGTTAACCTAAGGGCAACTGAAAACGAGATAGATTCCTTAGAGCTGTCTGCTGATGAACACTCTGCGTTGTTGGTTGCAGTTGGTCGACTACTTTCAAGTTCACGCCGAACGAGATGCCGGCCGCCAACTGGGACTGCCACATCAGTAGAAAACGTCGATGCAGCTAACACGACAGTAGTTCGTCCAAGTGAACAAGAAGGGGAAAGTGAACGAAGGCGTTCAAGCAGAGTACGAACTGTCCTTTGGTATGACGAGGGATAAAATTTTATGCGTTATATTTGCCGAGTGTACAGCTCATTGAACATTATTTCTAGTTTTTTAACACAGCTAAGAAGTTGCTATAAATAATTGTTTGTAGAACTAGATTGAAAAATAGGTTTCTTCGCTAGATCCTTTTCTAAAAGTCCTTGAATAAGTTGCATAAAAGTTTGGACGAGTGTTAAACAGTTATACAATTGCTGATAAAAAGCTATTGCCCATATATGCTCATTGGGATTAGGAATCTTCTCATCTTTAATTTTATTATAATCAAATTGCTTTTATCCATATTCAAAATTCTATCATAACGTTCCCGTTTGAAGAAGAATGTTTTTCTTTTCAACTATTTATGACGGTATGTTTGTAAATATTTACGGTTAGCAAACGTACCAGAATGCTTGTATTGTAGGTGAAAGTAAAGTATTCTTTATTAAGTTTAAAAATTGTGTCAATTCGTTTTTGGATGACCCGGCTTTTTCAAGGATTGGCAAGGTAGATGCATAAATAGAAAGTGACTAAGTTGGGATAGCAAAAATTACATTTTCCAAAAAGTGACTAAGATGGGGTCTATAATTGGCCAAAAAATAGACTAAAATGGGGTGGGGGCTCTGAGAGGCCAGTGGCACATACCCAGCAAACATTAACCCAAGTACCCCCCCCCCCGGGGAAAAATCATTGGCTGACACTGTCAAACATTTTATGGGAACCACCTTACACTAGCATTTACGACAGTTTCCAGGCAGTGAATGTCAAAAGAATGGAAGGAGGGATGAGGTACCCTATCTTTGTGGATCAAGCAGCATGCCAAATTTCGAAGCATGAGAAGTTGTTGACCATGTTGGTCGAGAATGTCCAGCAGCAGGATAGAACTGAAGATTGCCGCCTGTTTGCCATAGCTTTTGCGGCTATGCTTGCTTCTAAGAAGTCTAATCAAGATCCAGTTCAGGCAGTAATCAACCAAAGTGTCATGCGCCGTGAGCTGTTGGAGAGTTTCCAGGAAATGGACATGAAACAATTCATGACCAATGTGGTTACCGTAGACAAGAAGAAGAAAGCGAAAGCTCTGCATCGTTGGACCCGCAAATGAGCACAAAAAAGATAAGAGGAAAAAGAACTGAGAAAACAAGCAAGTGAAAAAGATGAGAAAGCAAAAAGAAAGAAAGATAAGGCAAGACGAAATGGAAAACGACGAAGAGGATAAGTAGAAGAAGGAAGAGGAAAAAACGGTCGAGTTTTAAAAAGGCTGTTTCGCACATTGTCTGCATGAATAAAGATGATTGCCTTGAGGTAGAGGAAATTGAAAGATGTACTGCTTTTCTGGATGTGGCTTTGTGCTGTGGTATAGATGTTTTTTATTACTTCATAGTCATATTTCCTGGTGCTTTCGAGTATGATGAACGACCTCTGTCCAGTGTGATTCATGAAGTGGCTCACGTTTTGGATTCAGCAACTGCAAGAACGTTTCAACCAGAACATTGAAAAGGTTGGCAGATCCCTCCTGCGACACTTGTAATTGAAAAAAGCACAAAGATGAGAAGACGAAAAAGAACAAAGACAACAACCAAGTACAAAAAAATGGGAAAGCAAAGACAGGGAAAAAAAGGGCAAGAAGAAATGGAAGACGAAGAAGAGGAGGAGTAGGGGAAGGAAAAAGAGAAAGGAACAGCAGGGGAACGATTAAGCGGGTAGCGAGACTAATGTCATCGATTGTCTCCTCAGTAAAGGGAAGGACCGCCAGCCTGAAGATAGAACATGAATTGATGAAGTGCACTTTACTACAAACGACGGTTTTCACAATATCTCTGACTTCTCTGTAGCTTCCCGACATCCATATCTAAAAACATTCAAATTCTACTATTCAGATTAAGTGAACATATTACATAATTAAAAAACAATGAGAAACCAATTAACTGTTTTCACGAATACATGATATCTTCCAAAGAGAAAACGTCACCATAGTTACCTGATTATAGGAAATTAACGCTCCATGAAATTTACATGAATCGTTAAAATTCGCGTTAATTTTATTGAGCGTTAATTTCCGCGACGTTAATTAAGTGCAGCGTTAATTTCCGCGCTCTTAATTTCCAGTATAATTAACCCCCGTTTTGGAACCTGTCCAGACATTCTTGACACCTTGAAAACTAACTATAAGCTTTCTTTCTTTCCATTTACCCTTTATTTTTTATCTTTCACAAAAGCTAACAATATCCATCTTCATCGTTGTCGCTGTCAGAAGTGATGTCAGCTCAGTTTTGAATTTTTTTTGCATCCAGTGTTGAAATATATTTGTTCCAGCTGTCACCACCAACTGTGTCTTAATGGCGTTAATTTCCTTTATTGTGAAATTCTACCTCCTCTTTTGTGTTAATTTTCTTTATTCGAAAGTCGTTTTCCATTAAATTCGCGTTAATTTAAGTCACGTTAATTTCCAATACCTTAATTTCATGGAGCGTTAATTTCCTATAATAAGGTACATACTAAACAGTGCTTGAGGTGATTGAGTATATCATTGGCTTTTTATATACGGTATTTATTCCATTAAACGCAGTTATTAGAATTTTTACCTTTTCCAATGCGGCACTTATTTAAGGGCGGCATTTATTTGGAAATCACTTTTTTAAATCACTGGCAACAGTTATTGTAAATTGTTTGTTAATATTATGTAATTTAAAGGTTCCCATGTGTCTCTCATTTTGCTGAGATAGAATCGTAAATGTCTCAATGGTGTAAAGTACCGAGTTGCACCAAGGTTTTCCTTATTATCATCGACTAAACGCCGTATTCTTCGGATTAGGTGCGGCGTTTCTTCTAGGGGGGGCTTTTATTGTTAATTTTGCTCGCATATGCGGCCCTTGATCGAGGGCGGCGTTTAATCAAATAAATATGGTAATAAATAGAACATTGCATGGCCACACTTACATGAAAGGTTTTGAGCTCTCCCATTTTAAGGTGGCTCCATACAGTTTTTCAGGGCCAATACCTCCCAAGTTTGAGCATAAACTACCTCGCCATAAACAAAGTTTTGGAAAAATTGCCACCACAGTTGTATTAGATGAAGATGAAAATTTGTTATGATCAGGGTTGCAACGACCTCAGAGTTGTCATAGCAACGAAATGACGCTATTACCTATTTTACTTGCAGCAGTATATCTCGGCACTGGGAACTGTTCTTCGAAAATCATTCACGGAAGCTTTTGCCTCCAATAGCAGCCTCGATGTTTGTGAAGTTTAAGCGAAATCTGTAAGAGCGTTATCAAGATATTTTCGGATAAAGATTTTGTCATTAGAAATACTGTAAAAAATGGACAATCATGGTGTTCGGCTGTTATCTGTAGAAAACGAAGCGCTTTTGACATGCAATTTCACCTCATAGTAGTTTCAATCTTTTTAAAAACATGTGTGAAAGATCAAGGAGATAGCTCCAGCCGTTTGCTAGAAAGAAGATTTGATTACTATGTATTGAGGCGCTCTTGTTAGCGGTTTTTTGAACATTTTGGTCTACTTTAACAAATTAACGAATAATTTCTAAACTGCTTGATAGATTTTTTTAAAAATTTAAGATTCTCGAAATTAACCTTCCTTTTATATGACCTTTTAGTTTCAAGGTTATTGATATATTGTAAGGCAGCAAAACAAGGGCTACAATTCGCTAATATTTTGGCCGAAATTTTGTGTTCACAAGTGTGAGCCTCTCATTATTCAGGGTATTGTGTCCAAGTTTCATATTTTCGTGCACAACAAAAGCTAGCATTTTTGCATATTTCAAATGCATTGTTAGTTACTGCTGTTCACGTGAAAAGGAAACTTGGAGACAATGCCTTGAATAACTAGAGGCTTTCACTTGTAATGACGAAACTTCCGATGAAAAAGTAACGAATTGTAGCCCTTATTTTACTGCCTTACAACATATCAATAGTCTTGAAACTAAAAGGTCATATAAAAGGAAGGTTAATCTCAAGAATCTTAAGTTTTTAAAAAAATCTATCCAGCGGTTTAAAAATTATTCGCTAATTTGTTAAAGAAGACCAAAATGTTTACAACACCGCTAACAAGAGCGCTTCAATACATACTAATCAAACCCCTCTTTCTAGCAATCGGCTTGAGCTATCTCCCATGATCTTTCACACACTCTTTTAAAAAGATTGAAAATACTATGAGGTGAAATTGCGTGTCAAAAGCGCTTCATTTACTAGAGATAATGGCCAAACAACAATATTGTCCATTTTTTACTGTGTATTTAACAATAAAAATATTATCGCAAAATATCTCGATAACGCTCTTACAGATTTCGCTTAAACTTCACGAACATCGAGGCTGCTATTGGAGGAAAAAAGCTCTCATAAATGATTTTCAAAGAACCGTTCCCAGTGCCGAGATATACTGCTGCAAGTAAAATAGGCAATAGTGTCATTTCGTTGCTATGACAACTCCAATGCCATTGCAACACTGATCATAACAAATTTCGATCTTTATCTAATACAACTGTGGTGGCAATGTTTCCAAAACTTTGTTTTTGGTGACGTAGTTTATGCTTAAACTTGAGAGGTATTCACCCTGAAAAACTGTATCAAGCCACCTTAATTTAACTATAGTGACCCCAATTCCGTTTGGCATCTTCAAGGGGCCATATCATAACCTTTCTTCACAAAATTACTTTTCTTACTAAACAAACAGCCAAAGCTCACACTGGGGATTTTTGACAGATTTTTGACCACCCCACCTGTTTTTGGTCACGCGCGCACAGATTTGTGGGTAGAGTACAGGCCCATTCCACGGTGGACTTTGAAGAGATCTGGTGCCTAAGACCGACACCTACGAGGTTTGTGTTGTCCGCCATTTGCAAAACAAGAAGGTAAGCTTTAATTTGATACCAAATTCGACTATTTTAGGGAGATTTTCGATTTTTTTCTCTTTATCTAAAAGAAGAAGGTAAATAGTATTACTTTCTGGAGATTTCTGGCTGTGTTTGTGGTCAATTTTACGTCTTTTAGTGTTCATTTACGCCAAATGAAAACGATAGGATTTTAGCCTGTTGTATTGACTATTTACACGGAAAATTTGGCTGATATTGCTCTTGTTTTGCCATAGTTACACCGGCGAGATGTTGGGGACCTCACGTTTTCCCATTGGAGAGTGGGCACGGCAAAGAAAGGAGAAACGACAAGTTTTAGTTGAAGCGAATAAGTCTATTCAAGACTTGGAGGGACGAATTACTGAGCTAAAGAGAAAGGTACGTAATGTTGTGAAAATAATTGAACTTTGGTTTTTTGAATACCTACTGTCACTCAGATATTTTTCATCGAATGAGACGATTTAAAACGCAAAATATCAAGATTAGAAGTGTAAAATAGTTTTAGTAAGCCAACTGTTCAATTATTTGTTTTACAAATATAATATTGCATGCTGATAAATATCTTGATAAATTAATAAGATGGTGAACAAAATAATTATGAATAATTTCTTAGAGATCGATTTTGCAATAAAAACTAACTAGCCATGCACTTGTGCACAACATTTATGCAGAGCCATAATTATAGCAAATCGGTGTTTTAAATGATATAATCAAATCATTATTCAGTGTTTAACATTTTAAAATCAGTTTTTTGCTTTTTTTTCTCTCTATAGCGAGGGTTATTACAAAATGAAATAGTGCACCTGCCAAGAGGACAACATGTTGTAACACCAACCACTCTAGATGAAAACAACAGTGACAAGTGTGTTGGTTTGTCACACAATATTTCAGCTAAGAGAAGAAAGCTTACGTATGATTGTGCCAAGAAAGTTCACTCTACGCCAAGCACAGAGCCTGAAGTTCAATGTGCAACTGCCAATGGACTTTGGAGCACCTTGGTTAACAATTGTAAAACTAAAGTAGTTACTGATTTACTGAAAAAGTCAAAAACTGTCTGTAAAACAGTTGTCCCGCAGATTGTGGCTAAATCTGTAGCTAAATTTGAAAAGTCGTCAAAGAATTTTCTCAGGTCTGTAAGTGTGCTATACAAGGGTGGAATTCTTAGTAAGAGAAAGTATTGTAATATAAGATCTTCAGAAATCTTTGATTATGACATCCCAGCAAAGAAGCGAAAGCGCACAGAGTTTGAAGAGGGTTGTAGATTACCTGCACTTGTACCTTACAAAGAGCTTATGAAATTTATAGAGGTACAAGATATTGGAAAACTTAATAGCATACCGCAGGCTACTGCTGAATGTGAAGTAGAAAAGGAAAATGAAGAAGTTGATGGCAACTTACTGCCAGTGGTCCCTGGGTATTATATTGACCTTAAAGAGCGTTTACTCCAAATGGCAGACCTCTACCTTCACATAGATAGCCATATACCTAATTTTCTTACGTGGTTTGGTAAACAGAAGGCTCATTTTCTAGTAGCAGTGGGTGCAGACGGTGCCCCTTTTGGTAAAGCTAATGAGGCTTGTGCATGGCTTGTCTCATTTTTGAATGTTTCTGAAAGAGTTGCCTCGCCAGATGACAATTTTTTGATTTGTGGTGCCAACTGTGCAGAAGATCACCCTGCAATGGTAGAATATGGGAAACAACTTAGATCAGAGATGGCCACTATTGCAAGTCAAACGTTTTCAGTAAGAGATCAGCAGGTTAAGTTTGAATTTAAACTAGTTCCATCAGATATGAAGTGGCTAGCAAAATTTTCTGGAGAGCTGAGCAATGCTGCTAGATACCCATGTTCTTTTGCAAATGTGCAACTTAGTGAATTACAAGAAAGAGGACAAAGCTTGAGTAACAATCCTCAAAGTAAGTGGAGGCCATGGGAATATAAATTCAGGGAAGAAGTTGCCAAAAAGGTGACACAATTTAAAGAAAAACAGGGAAGGCCAATTAATGCTGCTCAAGAGCAGACATTGCGTACCAAAGTATGCAACCATATAGCAAGCCTTAAATCTAGACAGGAATTTGAGCCAATTCTTGGTCCAGTTATTCAAAATGCTAAATGTGATAGTCTTCATGTGGGAAATAATTGTTGGGGACATTGGCATAAGTTGCTTTTTACCCATGTTTTGGCTAAAGCAAAGATTCCCACCAGTACAAAGTCTGTTTTTCAATTGGCAGAAGATAACTCTTTGCGTAAGCATTTGAAGGCTCTCCGGTTTAAATTAAAGTGCAAGAAGATGTATAATAAGATTTTGCGATGGTTTAAAGAGAAAAGGAAGTCATCTGCCTTTGAATTTCGGTTCACTGGGGAGGAAACTAAGAAATTTTGTGATGGCTTTATGTATCTTATTCAAGCTCAAATTGAGGAGGGTAACATTGAGCAAGCCAAGAGCTTTTTTGTGTTATCTCTTGGGAGAATGGGTCTTCACCTAAGGAACAGCTTGTCCCTTGCTAGTAGAGTCTCTAATATTAGCTCCAGTGATCTACCAAATTTAGAGCAGGATTGCAGACAATATTTCAATCTTACATCATTATTTCACTCTGCAAATCTCAGTGTTTGGGCAATGGGCTACTGTGTGCCCTTTCATACTAAACAGCTTTTTGAAGATCTTGGTGTGGGTTTAGGAATAAATTCAATGCAGGGAAGAGAGTCCAAACACCAGCAACTTGCTTCATTTGCTAGTTTTTCCCTTGTAAAACACAGATGGTCTAAAGTGTTTAGGCATGAGCATATGTCCAACATTTGGATAAGGCAACAGAATCCATTTCATGATACCTATAAGAAATGTAAAGACACCTATGTTCCAAAGCGGTGCAGCACTGCAGGATATTGTTCATGTGGTATGCCTTTAAGCACTGCAAGTGCATGCATGTACTGCTCATGTGAAATTTCAAAAGAAATTATTGCTTGTGGTTCAGCAGGGAAACTAACAGTAAAGATGAAAAAAATTCTTGCTGAAGCTCAAAAATGAAAAGCTTCTGTGAAGCTTGGCTAGATAACATCATATTGAGGGTGTTCAAAGGTAGTGGCTAGAGAATTAAATATTGAGATAATAAGATGTTTTTCTGAAGAGAGTTCATTTGTAACAAAAGCTTTGTTATAGTGTTAAAGGTTATGATGTTCTTGTTAGTTCATTAAAATAATACATTTCACATGGACCATAACTTCTATTATTTTGTGTTATACATACCCCTAAAAGAAGAAATACATTTATGCTTGATCATGAAATACACAAATTGGCCATTGCAGTAGACCGTTTTCGATATATTAAAATCATCCTGGCAGTGAGGCTTGAAGGACACAAACATAGGAAATTAAACGATCATGTTTATTTGTTTCTTTTTTTGTGTCCTCTAGTCCTCACTATCAAGCTGAATTTAAGTATATCACAAGTGGCCCACTCTAATCAAATAATAACAATTTCTTAACTTGTATAACATTTATGGGATACATGTTCAAAACTGAAGCAGGAAAGTATCTCATCTTTGTGTTCTTCCCTAAAGATCCATATCCCTATCATGGAAGGTCTTAGTATGAACCCTGTTTTTGTCTCTGGAAATTCCACAATTTTGCTCATCTCTTGTCATAATTTCTAATCACCTTCCTAGGGAAAGTATGGATATTTTTAAAACAACAGAAAAACAAAGTTAATATTATATACAGCTCAGGCCCTGGTAAAACAAAATTGTCTTGCAACTTGATACTGTTATGAAAAAAAAAACAACTGGAATGTGCTAATGCCAACCAATATAATCTTTGTTAAACACAACAGGAACTAAAACGAAGTACAGTTAGTTCATCAATTCAAATAAACTGAGGAACTCCTTCTTCATTCCAGACACCATAATGACACTTAATTTGCACCATTTCTGTGGAGTAAATGTATTTAAGCTGGAAAGGCTTATTTGCATCTACAAGAAGATCAGTGTGTCCCTTGCCTTTAATGCTTCTTCTAAACCCCACCTCTCCAGTCATTTGTCCATCTGAAAACCATCGCTCCAGCTTTCTTTTGTGAGATACTTTAATGACCTTTTCTTTTACCTCGCCGTTTCTCTTAAGATGGTTTTGGATGTTTACTCCATACATAGATGTGCAAGTGAGGATTTCCACTAAATGATCGAATATCTCCTTATGAAGTCTGTAACTGAATTCTACAATCCATGGATTGGAATGTTTGGCGACAAAAAATTCCCTTCTAATAATCGACCTTTTCCAGTTGTCAAGCTCGCGGCAGGCCATGTTGTGCAAATTACAGGAAGACACGGTTAGTTTATCTCGAGCAGATCTCCGTGAGTAGGACTTTAAGCAATCTTCTTTCAGTCGGTGCAACTCTTTAAACAAATCCTGGATCGCAAGCTTCTCAGAGACCGCTTCAGATGGCAAGGACTTCCAATATTTGGACTCGGTTTTTCCGTAGAAACTTCTAATCTCTTCAGAAAGACCTCTTATTATCTCGGTATTTAATTCTCTGGCGGCCATCTTTGGTCAACCTCGCTCTAATGTTGTGCGGCAAAGAAGGCAGCCTCAATCTGGTGATGGGATAAATTCAGACCAAAAATCCCCAGTGTGCTGTTCGCATTGCTGTTTAGTCACAATCTAAAAAGCACTTACTAGGCACAGGTAATTGATAAAATATGTATTTGCAAGGTTTTCCTACTCTTTCTGTGTATTTCAGTGCATCCACTTTCCAACAGGCGGGATATTTTCTTGTCCATCTGTAAATTTGCCCCTGTGTAAGGCACCCCTATATGAAAGGATGATTGGTAACTTTTTGTTTAAACACAGGAAGGCCTTTGCATTATTCATTTAAGATGTTATTTCAATTGTTTTATACTCTTTGTGTGTATTTCAGTGCATCCACTTTCCAACAGGCGGGATAGTTCCTCGTACTTCTGTAAATTCGCCCCTATATGTAAGGCACCCATATATGCAAGGATCTTTGGTAAATTTGCCCTGCTCGCGAATAAGAACTGCTAATGTACAGAGCTGGGAAAATGAAGTTTCTAACCTGCCTTTTTCTATGTTCATTAATTGATGTATGAAACTTTCTATAAATGGCAAAGAGATTTTTTTGAAAAAGGAACGATGGTGAGTCTCCTTCGCTACAGACACTCCTTTTGCGTGAATATCAAAACATCGGGTTTAATATACTGTACTCAGTTGAGTGCGTGACTATAACTGTCAACTCACCCCTATATGCGAGTCGCCCCTATATGTAACGTGCCCCTATGTGCAAGGTAACGTTACCAACCAGGATTAAGGATGTTACTCTGCAAAGCTAGTGGGTAGCAGTGTAAAAAGACAGTTTTAGAAAAAGCTGACGATGCTCCACGTGTGAGCCATAAATTTTGGCAAGACTTGTTTTTTGCGCATTCCTCATGCAGAATCTGATCGGTGATGCATATTTTAATGTCCTGTAGGATTTTTGCAATGATGTCCTAGCGTATCTACCTAGAAAGGTTTACAACTAGCCCGGTTATGGAGCATTCTATCACTGCAAACAGCCGGGATCAGGAGAGCCATAGACATAAATCATGCAAATTGTATTTAACAACACACCGCAGTATTCAGTATATATAATTATCTAAATCAAAACTCTTGTAGTAGCAGATCAGAATCGTCCTTTTTAATGAGGAATTCCTTGAAGATATTAGTTTAGTGCTGTCTCAAACAGATTTTGCGTTGCATTTGAAGAACTATGATTATATGTTCACATTTTTAAAAATATTTTATTACTATCATAAAGGAAAATAAAGGGAGATATACAGAATCAACCATAAGAGGACACAGAAAAAATCTGAGCCCCAGATGGGATTCGAACCCACGACCCTCCCTGTTCTAGATCGGATGCTCTGACCTCTGAGCTACTGAGGACTCGTCGGCGAGCAAAGATTATTACTACAAATTAAAGGCGCTACATCAAAAAGTTTGTTTCCCTGTGCTAGATGTCTTGTAATCAGTTTAAAATTACAATAGGTTCTAAACGTTAAAAACAATATCATGCAAACAGTAACTCAATTCTTGCCATCTGTAGACAATTCTCAGGCTAAACAAAAGAAAGGATTGAAGGCAAGTTTCAATTTTATATGTTTCTGTCATGTTTGTGTGATATAAATCTGAGTATGGATGATAAATTTATTTGATCACAAAGGTATACTTTTTGAGATGACAGGACCATCAGGAGAGATTGAAATTAAACATTGCGTATTAATTTTTATTTTGAAAGAAAAAGGGACAATCCAGCCCTTATAGTGTTCCCTTATTGACCTCGTATTCTATTAAGATTAGGCAACATTGTAGAAGGTATTCAGTCCCAAATTTGTAATAAAACTACTGCATTGCAGGTTGCAGTGATATGTAGTTGGGTTTTTTTTATTCTTTCTGCTTGATTGCCTTGTGCTCTCATTGGTCATGGTGATATATCTCACCAGAATAATATACATATTTATCTATTTTTAGTGTGTCTTTTTTGAAACATGGTGCTATGACTGTGGTGCAGATCAACATATGGCTCTAAAGACATGCCAGAAGTGCAATTCCACCTTTGAAAAACGTCGAAAGAAGGATTTGGTAATACTGAAGGAGAAGAAAACCAACATTACACAACAGCGTCATCTCATGGAAAACTGTGCATGTTAGTTTATCATTTCTCTGCCAAACATTTTTAAAGTGCATTGTGCAGCTTATTAAGTATTTCTATCACAGGTTTTGACACAGAATCATCATCATAACCATTAATTAAAGACCAAACAGTTAAACCAAAACTACTTACAAAGCAATTTAAATGTTCAAACGGCAATGTTATCATCAATTGGTACAACAAGAAACAACAAACTCTGAATTTTCAGGGCCGCGATGGTCCTGCTTTAAAGGATAGGCTGATAGAATTAATTCACAAGAAACCGAGAAAGACAACTGAAACGCAAGATGCCAATTCTCTGAGCTCTAGCGAACAATCATTTCAACCATCTACACTATTGCAGGAGACCGACAGTGGTCAGAGTAATTTTCAAACGTCGACTGATGGTGAGAGTCTGCTAAATGGTTCTGAAAAGCGACCAAATTCAGAAATCATTGCCGATATTGAGGGATTGAAACTCGATTTATTGATCCTTCAGAAGCAAGTTCAAGAAAATACAAAGCTTCTGTCGATGGAAAATATTCAAAAACAAGATGGAAATGCTTTTAGGTGTCGAGCTCCTCGACTACAAAAAGAAGTGTGAAAAGTTATTATCCACTATATCTAAAAAAAATGCAATGCAATTAATGAGTTGGAAGAAAAATGTTTGCTCCTTGAAAGCCGAGTTCTGTCATTAGAGCAAGAAAATGATTCTTTAAAGTTAGCACTAACAATCATTACGCGAAAAAAGAGTGAAGTTGAAAACAATCAACTACAATCAAGTGATCGTTGGTCCGTAGCAAAGCCGCACCGAGAAGTACAAATGCAAAACATAGGCAGAAAACAATGCCCACTAATATAATTCAAACCCGTAACGGTTTGAGCCTCTTCAAGTTGAAGATCAAATTGAAAGAAATGTAAGCAATCAGAATGGGAATAGCGCTGTCAAAGGACACAGAACATCTTCGCCGTCCTCAGAGATCAGAACGCAACGCTGACTTAATCAATTCGTCAAATCAACTTGATCATTCACAGCCCAACCGTCAGAAGAAAGTTATTATAGCGGGGATTCTACTCTTAAATACCTACAAAGCCATAAAATGTCCAAGAATTCACAAGTTAAGATAGCCACCTTTCCGGGATGCACAACGCAAGACATGAAGGATCATATCAAGCCACTACTACGCAGAAACCCAGACGAGATAATTATCCATGTGGGAACCAATAGTTTACGATCCTCCAATACTCCTCGTGAATGTGCAGTAGAACTGATTGACCTAGCCGAAGCAGTCAGCTCTGAATCCTCAGCTATGATATCTATATCCGGTCTCATCAATAGATCTGATGATGAAGCCCTTGCATGTAAAGTACCTGACGTGAACAAAGTTCTTAAGGAATGCTGCAAGCAAAAGAACTGGGGTTTTGTTGACCACTCTAACATTTCAATAACTAGCCACTTAAATTGAAGTGGTCTTCATTTAAACAAGAAAGGCACCACGCGCCTAGCTCGAAACTTCATTAACCATTTACGTGTAGACTAGGATATTGCCGTCTGGGAATCCGACTCGGCTGATGTCCATAAGGGTACCGACCGCGGTAAGTCCAGCTGTCCCACAATCTTTGGTTGAGGTTTAGCTATAGCATCCCTTAACATTAATAGTCTGTTGTCTCATATTGACGAACTTAGAGTTTTTATGTCCTCTTCAAAAGTTGATATTTTACATATCAACGAGTCAAAATTAGACTCTACAGTACGTGATGATGAAGTTTACATACCTGGCTTTGAAATAGTCAGAAAAGATCGTAAAATTAACGGAAGGAATGGAGGTGGAGTATGTACATACGTACGCACTAATCTGAACTATCGAATACGTAATGATTTAAATAATGATCTTTTAGAGTCTCTTTTTGTTGAAATCAGTAAGCCACGGTACACCATTTCTGGTCGGTACTTGGTATCGACCCCCAAGTTCTCCACCCAATTTATTTAGCTTAATTTGAGAATGTTATTGCTAAAATTGACGCGAAAATAAGGAATTATATTTACTCGGTGATATCAACTGCAATTTGTTGCCTGAAGCAATTACAGTCAATTCTTCCCATCTGATAAACATTTTCGATATATATGGTCTTAGTCAGTTAATCACTGAACCAACACGTGTCACCCAGAACTCAAAAACATTAACTGATTTATGTATAACGAACTCCCCAGATAAGATTACAAATTCCGGTGTCATTCACCTTGGCATAAGTGATCATTCTCTTGTTTTTTTGTCACGTGAGACTCAATACTGCCGTATTGGCCCTCGCGTGATTGAAACACGGCAATTTAAACACTTTAAGAGAGGAAAATTCTTAAGTGACCTCAATCAACTACCTTGGGCCAATGTTCATTTGCATTCTGATCCCAATGAAATGTGGCATGTATGGAAAGAAATGTTTCTTGGCTGCGTCGATAAACACGCACCACTTAAATCCAAAAGAATTCGGAAAAAACGATCTCCATGGATTACTAGAGAGTTACTGAGCAAAATCCGAAAACGAGATTTCCTTAAAAAGAAGGCAATCTCCTCCAATAACCCGGCTATATGGGATCAATTTAGGTGTGCAAGAAATCAGGCAAATAACGCAATTAAACTCGCAAAAAAAAAAAACTATGTTTCTGACAACCTGGAAGCCAACAAAGGTAATTTCATAAAAACATGGAATGTTATCAACGAGCTAACTTCACATAACAGTGGTAAGTCAACGAATATTTTGGAGGTCAAGGTAGATGATAAAATAGCAAGTAACCCTTTGGAAATTGCGGAAACTATTAACGATCACTTTACAAACGTTGCGCAAGTATTAGCACAAGATATTCCTGTTGTCGATGTTAATCCTGAGTCTTATTTAAAGCCCACTGATCATTCGTTTTCTCTGCAAATTCCGAGTGTTGATATTGTTTCTAACGTTTTGTCGAAAATTGATGAAAAGAAAGCCACCGGTCTTGATATGATTCCGAGTAAATTGTTGAAAATGGCTGCTAATATCGTCGCACCCTCTCTTACCTCAATATTCTCAAAGTCTATTCTCACTGGGATATATCCAAACGATTGGAAAACAGCCAAAGTGACTCCACTTTTTAAAAAGGGCATTAAATCGGACCCTAACAACTACAGGCCGATATCTGTAATCCCTATAATTTCGAAAGTTTTTGAAAGAATTGTTTATAATCAACTTTTCCATTATCTAGATGATAACAAATTGCTACTAGGTTGCCAATCAGGGTTCCGTTCTCTACATAGTACGCTCACGGCTTTGCTTGAGGCAACAAATGCTTGGTCAGTAAACATCGACAATGGCCTTCTAAATGGTGTTGTCTTTATTGACCTTACTAAGGCATTCAACACCATTGATCATGAGATCATCTTGCGTAAGATGTCGTACTTGGGTGTCGATGAGGCAGCTATAAAATGGTTCTCGTCGTACTTAAGTGGCCGAACCCAAAGATGTAATGTCAGTGGCAAACTATCATCTGCTCGTACCCTCAGTTGCGGCGTGCCGCAGGGTAGCATATTGGGTCCTTTGCTATTTTTAATTTACATTAATGATCTTCCCAACTCCCTGCGGGGCGCCGTACCAAGAATGTTTGCTGACGACACCAACCTTACGTTATCTACTAAGACGTTAACAGAGCTTAAGCTAGCTCTAACCCCTGAATTAAATAACCTTAGCTGTTGGCTGAAAGCTAACAAGCTCAGTCTAAATGTTGCTAAAACAGAGCTAATGATTATTGGATCAAGACAAAGACTATCTGCCCAATGTGACGATGTAGAAATCAGAATTGATGACCAAATTATTAAGAGAGTCGATCATACCAAATCCTTGGGTCTTACCATAGATGCTCAACTCTCTTGGGGTAAACACGTTGAAGAGATTTGCAAGAAAGTCTCTTCAGCTATAGGCCCCCTAAAACGTGTGCGGCCCTTTATATCCAAAGAAACTGCAATTCAAATTTATAACGCTTTAATTATGCCTCATTTTGATTACTGCAGCCCCGTCTGGGACTGTTTGAGTGGTTACTTGAGTGATAAGCTCCAAAAATTACAGAATCGTGCAGCCAGAGTTATTACTAAATCACCCTTTGATGCGAGCTCAAACCACCTTCTCTCCATCCTCAGCTGGGAGAGGCTATCTCTTCGACGAAAGAAACAAAAAGCCGTAATGATGTATAAAACCATGAATGACCTTGCTCCAGAATATCTGCAAAGTCTTTTCTCTCAGCGTCACTCTGCTTACAACTTAAGAAACTCTGAGGGAAGGCTGACCTTGTCCAAACCAAGCAGCAATTATTTGAAACGAAGCTTCTCTTACAGCGGGGCCATGTTATGGAATAACTTGCCCAAAAACTTAAAAAACGCTGCATCCGTTGAGCATTTTAAGCGAAATATCCAGAAGGTAGCTGATATATCGGATTCCCACACGGCAATCATGTAAAGCAGTTGTAATTAGTTTTAGTTTTTAACTTAAGCTTAACTGATGATTTCCCGTGTTTAAATAAAGATTTACATACTAATAAGAGTAATTTTCCACTGGCTGAGTGTAGCGAGCAGCGGTTGGCTTGGTATGGCTACCAGTGGTGTGTGAGAAAGGGCATGTTTTATTTATAATAAGTTCAGGTATCACATTCCATTCCATAAAAGGGTTTATGAACAGAGATTAGGATTATTAAAAGATAAATGCATAACGTCTTAACTACCTTTTAGTGTTAGGTTGATTGGCAGCTAGTTAGAGCCTGATCTAGAACTTGACCATGCATTCACTTCTCTTTAATTTTAAGTCCCTGGCCTTGAGGTTACTCAGGTCAATTATTAGATGCAAATGAAATTCTGGATTTGAAAGTAACAATGCTTGGAGTTAAGGTTTAAAATGTTTCTCTTGGTATGTTCTTTTTTGTGATGAAGAATTTGGCATTGTTCACACTTATGCATGTTCCTGGTTTATAAAAACCCTGGTGTTCATAGCCAACTATTATAAGTAAATTTATTTATTCGAATAATTTATCATGCTACCACATAATTACTCAGGTAATGACAACATTCTCTTGCTTAGGTAACAATAAATATCTATGGTTTATTATGTTTTCTGGACGAAAACTTCTCACTTGCACTTCACAGGCTGATATCCTTCATGCAAACCATAACTGTGAAGTTGTGATGATTTATCATAAACATGGGAGTAGTGATACGGTTACATTTTATGGAACACAAGGACCTGGAGTTACCTTTATTGGTAACAAAAAGGACAAGAAGTCATCATAACACGGGGAGATGGCCCTAAAACTGTTTTGCAAGTTTATGGAGGGTAATAAATTATTACAGTTTGTCTGATAGTTACAGTTGACCGCTACATTATTTTTCAGCAGGTCCACCATCATTGACACTTAGTCCCTAACTATCTTATGCAAATGTTACAAGTCAATAATTATGTAAAAGTAAAGTAAAAAACAAAACTTATTTTCTACCTTATTAGATTACCAATTTTCGCCATTTTTTTCAGGAAGTTTTTAGGGCAGAATATTTGTCAGTTTCCATATTATTCTCAAATTTTAGGTCCATAATTTCTTTTTGAAAGGACATAGGAGGGTTTTTATTAATTGCTACTTGAAGCAGTGGCGCATCCACAGCAGGGGCCTGCCCCCCCTTATTTTTAGACCAAAGTGAGGCCTGAAGGACTGCAAAAAATTTTTGGCGAGACCACCCACCCTGCCTTATCTAACGGTCTGGATAACTGCCCCCCCACCTTATCTCAAGGTCTACATCCAGCACCCTTCCCTTTAAAGGTAACTTTTTTTGGTACATGTCTAACAAGCAATGTATGTACACCTTTTAATAATAAGCCCTTCAACTTTAATTTAGCCATTTTCACATTTTCATCTAATTACAGACTGTGAAATAAAGCACCTTTCTAGAATCAATGGTACTGACCACTGAACAGAATTAAAACATGCAAGCAAGTGTAACTGTTGCAATTATTGCTTCATTCCACAATCACTTCAGCAAATCTAACACTCTCTGATAATACACCTGTAAAAGAGATCTAGTGTATTTTGGGCACATTGATAACTTGAAACAAATTAATGCAAGCAAAATAATTTCTGCCCTCATTATTCATTTAAAACAGGGTGGACATGAAATCCCTTCAGAGGAAGTATCATCTATTGTAATTCCTAAATATGTTATTGTAGCAAATTGAGTCACTTATGAATGTTTGGGCTCTGCATCCCTCATAATTTCACCAATTTTCCCATTAGATATATGTCATCAACAATTTTTTGCCTGCTTTTGCTTCTTCTGTGTGCTGCAAATCAACCAAGCAATATTTTACTACTGATTCTAGCATGTTTTCACCAATACGAAATAATATTAATTACTATGAACACCAAGTTATGAAAATCTTCAAGATACACAATAGGGCCATAGTGGTGGCGATTGTAACAGTGAAGTTTCCCCCAAGGGGTCCAAGAAAAATCAAATGTAACACTGTAGAAATATTACATTCCGTGGAAAGTCCAGGCGATTAATGGGCTGTAGCTTGAATTGAATGATGATTATCCACACACACGAGAAGACACAAGTGGTTTGTACTGTAAGTATCAAGCCCGCTGGGTTAGTCTCTTTCGGGTGTGATAATCCGGTAGTTTATCTCATTTAATATGTCATAGGCCGACTGGCTCAAGTTATCAACACTCTCGATTTAGCATCAGGATAATATTACTATGTCAATTTTGGAATGTCACGTTCTTTTCTTTGCCGTTTCTAATTTCAAACGCGGGTGATTCAGTAGCTGTAGAATGGCACCAAGGAAGGGTTTCTCGCCCTTCACTCGGGTCATCAGCCCCGAATTAAGTGTGCAATTGAATTGGTACATTCTTTGTTCGAAAGTTTGTGGATCAACGCTGACACAATATTTTAAACAGTCGCCTGTTGTCGCCAGTTTTCCAGGCGATTTTCAAAGAATGAACAGTGCCCACATTCGGCTGCAAGATGGCCGCCATTACTCTAACAAGAAGTCTTCAAATGCAATTGAAATTGTCTGTTCCTTGTTTGGGTTGATAACCACTTTGCTTCGCCGTTCTTCTTTGGAAAGCTCTGAGTTCATTTCACAGCTGAGAGATTTGCTGAACATAGTAGATCCCAGTAACATTTCTGTTGACGAAAAAAACGAAAGCCAAGCAAGCAAACGACCACGTGCTTCACGGCGCTTGGAAATGCCAACGACAGCAACGAACAAGACGTCGTCATCTGTGGCCATGACACCCCCAAAACAGTGGAAACTCGCAAAGAGCTGAAAACAAGAATGTTTCCCCAAATCTAAAAGAAATCAGCGAAAAGGAAGATTTGGATACTCCAGAAAAGGTGCTGTTGATGAAGCTGCAAAGCAGTCGCGTCATCAAGGACGTGCATGACGTGTGCGACAGAAACAGGGAAAGTTTGGCCATGGTTCTTTCAAATATGTGCGCATTTGGCGACCCAGAAGCGAAGGCCATCGTCAAAGACATTGTCGAAGAGGTGGCTGTAAAAAGGGGAGTAAAGAGGAGTGTGGAAGACCTAGTTGGCGATGATACCATGTCAAAGTACATGGCGTGCCTGAGAGTTCCGGATTGGAAGCTTGTCCTTTTCCAGGCGATGGCAAGAGTTTCTGCGAAAACGTGGCAATCCGTGATTAACATCACAGGGCTCGGAAGGACGGGGGTAAGATGTTTAGCTACGTTAGTCTTGCTTCAAAAAAATAAACTATTCCACCGCAAGCCCCAGTCTTTCAAGCGTCTTATTGCTCTTGTTTTATGCAGTTTTATTCCCTAAACCAAGCCTAGTATGAATGTTTATCGAAAGTGCTGGCAAATTAGGTTTTTAAAAGTTAGGATTTTTCCTGCTTAACAAGAGTCGGTGAACTGTAACGAGGATTACTTATTTGCATAAGCGCATGGCAGTCCTTCAACTGAAGTTATTAGTAGTGCCAATGAGTATCAAGTTTTCCTGGCTAGAATGTAATGATAATTCTCTTAAGCTACACCTTTTTGGGTATAATATATGTGAGCCCATCGTGGGCAGTCTTGTGATTATACTTTGTTTTCCAGAGCAATTTGAGCCTTTGAGCCAGTGGTAAGCTCTTTTTCAGCTGGCGAAATAAGCTGGCAGCCTGCTCTTAGGGACAAACCCTGGACCATTAACATATAAGGTCATCGCCCTACCTATTAATGTGCCATGACATTATCTCTAAAGTTTTTTCCCATGAAATTCTGCGGATAGACACTGTTTGAACTGGTAGAGCTGTATTTACCAAGAATTCAAAAAAATATTTGAGGAAAATAAGCAGTGTCTTAATGGTCATTTCGTCATGTTCAAACTGATAAAAGTGTCTCATAAAATGATTGTGAAGTCCCTTGCTGACGGTAGCAAATGTTATTGTTACAGGTCAAAATTATGTTCAAGGGAAGAAAACTACAGAGGTTGATTCTCTTTTCCCTTTGTTTCCTGGTGCTAGAAGGAGACGAAGCAAACAAAGAATCAACCTATATTAAAAAGTTTTGTCTTTGCGTTCTATCACTTGCTTTCTGTTATTTTCTTAGAAATCCTCTCACGCGCCTCTTCTCTTCAACTTGAACCAAATCACGGCAGCTAAGAAGATGGTTTTTTGAGTTTGTAAAGAATATATGGGGGTTAAGAAGGTGGCTCCTCCTATACAAGGTTTCTCTGTAAATTTGAGTTCTGTTGTGGAGCTGATTGTAAGGGAGCAAAGGCTGCACCAACTGTCTTCACTTGCTTTGCGACTGATGATGAAGCTTGATGGGAGACCATTTTGAAATAACGCATGCTGTCTTTACAGTTAATTATTATTATTTTTTTATAAAAGGTCATTCCATACACATGATGATCATCCACACATTTTTTTGTGTATGTGTTTCAAATCAACATAACTATGACTGTGAAATTTCTTTGGCCTTGTAAACAACCACCGCGAGTCTTATCAAATGTGCCATTTGCAGCACTGTGCAACCTCTCTCCTCATGTCACCTGTAAGGATCCGTTCGCATACAAGTCCAACCGGACGACAATGTTGAACCTATCTGGCTAAAAGTGTTCACATCAACTCTTGAGAAAATGCTGGAACACGTTTCTTCTGATATGACATTGCAATCACCGGAAGAACAAGTCTTCGCTCAACTTTTCTTGCTTAAAAACTTTTTTGTTGATTTCAACGAACAATCATTAATTTTGGAGGACGTTCATTTCAAATAAAATGTAAGTACTTGTCAAACTTTTCAAGCTATTCTCTCTTATAACTATTTCCTTGGAGAACTTAGCTTAACTTCGTTTTACAATACTAATACAACTACGTATTCAGCTTGAACCAGGGCACTTGTCTTAAATTACTTTGAACAACTTTAGTTTGCTTCCTTTTTTCAATAATACCTTTTTTCTCTTCTTCTTTTTATGAGAATTGCTTCATCGTTTGCATAAATAAACCTGTCTGGTCAAAAATGTTGCTACCTTTTAAGCATTTTTTTTTCAAAGTGAGAGACATTAAAATCTAGAGTACTTGACAGAGTAATAGACAAGCCCTTTACAATTATCATAGTTGTTCTCTTTATCCAAAAAAAAAAAAGACTCAGGACAACAAAGTTCCTTAAACAACAAGAAATTCACAACGTAAATAACTTCCGTACTTCAAACCATGTGGCTTTCAAAATCTACAATCTACTCCAAGTTACCAAACTGAGTAATTTTTATTTCCTAGATCCTTTGATTCTCTTTTTCTCGGGTCAGGTCAATTAGTGCATTTGCCCTGCTGCAACTATGACCATAAGCTATACAACCTGTAATGGTCATACGCTGAGTGCCAGGCGGCGGTTAATTAACCTAGGTAACCCATTTGTGCCAAGAGCTTCAGGCGGACGAGCACTCTGGGGAGGGTAGTGGAACCCCTTGATGGAGGAAATACCATCAGAAGGCTGATGAGTGAACAATGTTACATTTCTCACCAACAGCATCCACACAACTCCTATTTAAGCCCCAATTGTGGCTTTTGGTTGTTTTTAGTTCTTGTTGTTGTTTATTTTTATGGGGGAATAAACAATTGGAACACTACATCGCACTCAAGATCAACACACCCCTACTAAATAATTAAGTAATTGACAAGATTCTGCTGTAAAGAAAAGGAGTTGCGTTTCCTATCAATACTCGTTACTCCTCATACTACATGTCATAATCAATAACCTGTTTACAATATTATTATTGTTGTGACAATAAATGACTAAGGAAACCAATGCTGATTAGACATCAATGAAAGATGTAAAAACCCTTCTACATTTCTGGAAAATATAATTTGCAAATGTTCAATTTCAATTTCGACTTAACTTTAAACAAACCCTTCTTTTCTTAGTAATTTTTATTTTCTGGCTATAATTAAATTTTCTTCCAGAATCATAGTCATTGTGTTTTCCAATCATACTACACACACGCAGTGGGCGGTACAGTGCCTTAAACCTCGTCTGCCCCAGATATAATCACGAATCTGAGAGAGGGAGAACTTTTAGCGTGTCTGCGACAAGATATAACCTACATACAGATGTACATAAATACGATTGATCAAATCTTATATTAAAAGGTGAGGGGTACAGGTTAGGAGATAAGACAATGGCTGGGTAATAAATTTTATTAATTGGAAACTTCACTTCACTGAGTTAAGGAGATCAGCATACTGGAGATCAATTGCCTACATCGTTATTAATGTTCTCACTTGTCTTACATTCTTTATATTCATTGGTTTTAAAGTTGTTATTTCCATTCAGTAATATGTTTCTATCACCCTTGTTTTATGTACCTCTCTTCAGTGAATATGGCAAGAACATGGTCATAACGGTGGAAAAACACTATTTTCCAGATCCAGGGCGTCAGCAGACAACAGTCAACAGATCCTTGACGAATGGCAAAAAGCCAAGTATGATGTGCTGCAGTGGAAAGAGAATGATCTGCCCAAAACATTTGCGATAGAACTGGGTTGGTTACAGCTACAGAATGGTGCCTGTCAAAACTTCCACAACCCACCTACCATTCTCATTACCCAATGCTTTGCTTTATTGTTGAAGTCTGTTCCAGCTGCCCAGTGGGTAATGCTTGGCCTGAAAGAGCTGCTGGTGCCCTGGAATGACAGAAAGGCAGGTTGAGCTCCCGATTACAGAACCACCTGCTGAACCCATTTCTTCGGATCACAATTGCCCAAGGCGGGAGTCAAAAAGGAGCTCTCCTTGCTGACACAAGTTGTCGAAGAGTGGCTAAAGGGGAAAGATCGGAGAAAGTTTAGGAGGCTTTCTCCAATTTCAACCATTGCGTAAATGACCTTTTTCGTTCATTGACTTTCATAAATGTAATCTTTCTCAAATTATTGTATAAGTCAGTGATTTCATTTCAACTGAATTTTAAATGCAAAAAATAAATAAGAGGCAATGTATGCCATGTCACATTCAAACGTTAAAGTTCAACCTAGTTCAATTTTAGATTTAAGAGGGGCCTTTCATACATTGCCTCTGCTTAATTTATTCACCCGCAATGGTTGTGGCGTATGCATGTTAACATTATGCAACAGCGGAAATTCACCTTTAGACGTTTCCTCTCTCTAATCATGATTTGTTTTCCTTACATTTTCACAGTCTGTGACTGCCTTCAAGAATGGAGTTCAGGCAATTGATCCTGTGTTGGCACAATGGCTGAATGGGACTGTATTTTATGTTTACGGTTCCCAAAGTCATGAACTGAGTAAATTTAGAAGGATTTGTATGGAGTCATCGCAGCATGGGCTAATACCTCAGAGACAATTTGCCCCAAAATGCTAGTTTTTTGCAAGTAGGCCTCTTGGATGTTGTTTTTTCAGAATATCCAGACAAATCCCATAATTTCACCAATTTATTTGTTATGACGTCACACTTTAGGACTCTATTGGCTTCATACATTCAGGGGGTCACAAAAAGTATGCTGAGAACTTGAAGAAGAAAGGCCTTTAAATAGGCAACATTCAGTGTTGAAATCAAATTTTCCTAAAAGACAACACCCAAAGCATCTGCAGAAGGATCTCCTTGTCTGTATGTCACAACCACGATTGGTCTGAGGCCGAAATGGTGGCCAAAATTAACTGCTTCAGAGAAGAGATGACACATTTAGTTTTTCAGAATCATATTCTTCTTGGCCAGGTTAATATACTTCCACGTAAATTTATAGATTTTTGGATGACAGAGAGACCCGATTAGGGTTTAAAAGCTGAACTGTGACTCAAACTGTATGGTGAATACCCAACCCTAATTGTTCATTTTGGTTACTGTACTTCTTTTCTTGAGGTAGTCTTCTGTCCATTTCAAAGTACTGTTACACTTCAGAAGTACAACTTTAAATACCAGGGGGTGATGATGTTTATCAATAGCTCTTTTAAGTGGTGATCTTTTGCAAAGATTATCGTTAACCAGCAAGGGCTAGCCGCTTCTCTGTGTAAGGTGTAATAATGCCAGAAACCCACCTTTAAGTATTAAAATATGGACACCCATATGACAGTTTTGTTCTTCCCAACAGAACGCTCATATCTTTTCTTTACAATTAACCCACCTAATATGAACACCGGTTAAGACAGACAACAGATACTTTTCTATGTCCCAAGTCACAAACTCTTACATATAAAATTATTGTCAACTCCACTCAATGGACAATGAATATCAGTGCACTGTCCAAATCGTATTGTGTGCTAATTAAAATCATTGTATACTGTTCAAATCTACGGGTTTCTACCACTTTATTACTAAAAACAGCAGCAATGATCTTTCAGGATTTTGGTCAGTTTGTCTATCTTCCAGTGTTTTAGCCCTACATTGTTGTCATTTATTAAAGTTGTCAGCGCTCTGTATATCACAAATTTCACTTCCTTAGCTTTTTGCTTTCAGACATCACTCCCTGGTATCAATAAAGATGTGTCAGTGAAGTTGTTCTCTGAAAGCCCCAGGAAATTATCATTCTGAATTTAAATATGTTCCTACAGATTGATTCACCTCAAACGTGTTTGTAGGCATAATGTATTCTATTATTTCCTTTAAAAAAGTAACACTGATAAGAGGAAGAGTAGCCAAATCTGAATACATAAACAGGGCCATGGCATGGGGAGGCCCCCCGTTTTTTTTCCACCAAAAAGCTAACAGATGCACGCAAAAAAGTTGAAAATAAATTTCTTCATAGACATCTTATTTCTATGTGGATTTTTCCTGTGAAAGTAAAAACTGAAACAATAATACGAGATATTTCCTGCCTTTTTTCACATTCCTCTGAATGATTTACCTCTACAGGTCTGTGCAGGAGTTAAATGAGCTCTGCCACGAAATTTATCAAAATTTAGACGAAACATACAAATAACCACTCCAAACGTTAAAAGACGGTATACCTACATGTAACACAGCACATACAAAGGGAGGTTCGGAAACTTTGAGCTTAACAGCCAAAGGTCATTTTTGTTTTTGTAACGTTTGAAATGCTTGGGAGACATGTTTGTTTGACATGAAGCTTGAATTTTGTCACTCACAAATAATTTTTCAAGTTCCATTGCGCATAAGGACAAGTAGATGGCATTACCTGCAAAGTGAACTAGACAGCCTTGACACAACCAAACTGAACTCTGGGTGAACAATTCAACCTCATGAAAATCTGTTACCATCTTCATGCCATTACACAGGAAAAAATGTGGGGTGAGGACAAC